AAAAAAGTAAAAATTTTTATGTACAAAATAAATAATAATTTGTATGATCAGACATTTTTAAATAACAATGTTTTTTTTTATGAAATTACTATTTATGGTCTTTTTATTTAAAAAAAAAAAAAGTATAAAATTATTTATAGAATAATTTATATTTTTAAAAAAATAAACAATATAAACCAAAATAAATAAATAAATAAATAAAATAATCCATAATACTTTATTAGAAAGAGTAAATTAATTTAATAAACTCGTACGTACCAATAATTACACAGATAGCTAAATTTATAAATTGACATAAATATATATTAATATTTTAATATAATTTTACCAATCAATTTATTAAAGATTTTTTTTAATACATTTTTAATTTAAATAAAATAACGATCGAAACAATGTTTATAATGATGAACGATATTTTTTTGGTATATTACTAATTATTTAAAAATCTAAATGATAATGATTTAAAACAGCTATAAATTTTAAAATCAGTGTTAGATAATTTGGTATGAATATCATCAAATTTATGATATGAAATTTCGTCTAGTAACCTTTTTTGAAGTTTCCGAGTATATCTGAATAAAATTAAAATTATCGAAATTTGAAGTAAAAAATATCGTGTATAAAAAAGTAAAAAAAACAAAATTGAAATATAATTAAGGTTAAAGTTTGGAGGGGCGTCGTCAATCAAAACGTACCATTGACGATTAAGTTTATTTAAATTACTAAATATAAGTTTATTAATAAAGTGATAAAATTATATTCGCGCCGTACTTTTGATCGACAACGCCCACATAAATTCTTTTAAATAGAACCTTAAATTTGTCAAATAATGGTATAAAGGAAAATTTGAATTATGGTTGACGGTGAATTTAAAGGGTAAGAAGTATAAAAAATATAAACTTTTACACTCAAATTACAAGTGAATCACTCATATTACAAGTGAGTCACTCCCAGGCATAAATTGCAGACCCTCACGCGAAATAGAAAAGTAATCTGTTAGCGTCATTCCGATTACTTTTAATAATCAAATGATACTAGAGATAGGCATGGCCAATGTGTAACTACTTGATCTACTTGACCCGATTCGATTTGCTAAAAGCATAAAAGTCAAATAGGTTATCCTATTGTATATCGATATGTAATAATTTAGTTTTTTGTTATATTTCTTTTTTGTATGGCAATAATTACATAATTACTAGTTAATACCTGATATGAATTATGTGCATACGTATTATTGTTGCACAAATAAAGCTGTCAATCAATATATTAAACTCCGAATTAGTTAATTTTAAAGGCAATAATTGCTAGGTGTGTGACATACATCGATACAGTATATATTACATTGATGGCAAAATCTCGCCACATATAAGACTCTTTGAATCATTGTGACCTAACGCTAAGGGTAAATTAAATATCAGATAGTACAAGGTTAGAGAGGGCGTTACGATGTCATTGGAATTGTTTCTCTTAATAGAAAATTATTACGGCATTTAATTTGCCGAAATTATATAGTTCATTAAAGATAATATGGGACCTTTGCTAATAAAATATCCCTTCAGGCTATGATTTACAGGGTCTTTTTGTTAATAAAAATCCCATATAGTAATTATATGATTATAAATGTAATTATTCGAAAAAAAGGCTGAGGATCACTACTAATTTCGTAATAATGGGAAAATTTTAAAATATATGTAGTCAAATGACTAAGACTTAATTAACGATGCCTAAACAAAATTGGACGAAATCTTGTGAAATGTCATAATTTTAATCAATTATTCACTAGAAATTTTCGTCAGTTCTTTTTTTTTTTTTTTACGAATATAATTATTAATTAATTATAGCCAATAATATCTCAAAGCATTACTCGTAATAGGATTTACAATAAATAAATGTTAAAAAAAAAAAAAAGGACACTTTGGGATTATCTTAAATAAAGAAAATCGTATGATACCTATAAAAGGATTAATGGCTTAAAAACGTTCGATCGACAGTTTATTGTAACACTTTATATAATTCCATACGTATCTTGTCAGGGATATGGAGAAATTGAATTAAATCTGTTCAATTTGCCTTAGATGCATGCATGCATGCATATATAGGTTTAGAAAGTATAGATATATTTTTAATTTTTTTGATTATAAATCGAACAGATCCTAAATATAGACAAAAGAAAAAATTGAACACATTCTAAATCAGGAAATATTAATTGTTATATAACGTTAAACCTCCGGATACTCATCATGGAGGTTATTCCGGACTAACTAACAAAATCAAATTCAGGATGTCGATAATGGATGATCATTTTAAGGAGTTATGAGCTTTCGACGACACTATTTTTAGTGATATAGTAACGTGGAAAGGGATTTTAGTGATATAGTAACGTGTGAAGGGATGTTTCAAAGTAAACCATCAAAAATGGGTTAAATTGTCTAAGGAGAGTTAATCGATCCAAGTTAAAAACTTGATACGCTCCTTAGATGTATTTTCTAGAGAGAATTTTCTATTAATAAATCATTTGGTACACAGTAATCGGATCTTTGAATACAGTATCAAAGTTTATAAATCTCGAAAAGATAAAATATATTATCTATCCATCTATATTAAAGATATTTTTGGAAACAATATATACTGCATCTAATCAGATCATGTTGAAACTAGTCCGAAACTATAATTTATGTCGATCTAGATTTGAATGATTCTGAAATTCAGATGATAATAAATCCTATTGGATAAAATCTGCGGCCCTATCCGAGAGATATTAGTGATATTAAAAAAATAACGAACGGATGAACAGATATAATATCCGTTTTATATGAACAGATACCATAAAAAATTGTTCAATCAAATTAAAATTGTAAGGACTAAACAATTTTGTATCTAGGTAACTAGTTAAATGTATCGGTATAGGCTTTTTTAAGGGCCGGTCGGAATTATAATGGACCGGACTTTTTTATATCTAAACTTTAAAAATAAATGTATTTAATAAAGAAACATATTAAAATTAGATTTTAATAATAATAATCAGATATTATTTTTTAATACATATTAATAATCAAATATTATTTTTTAAAAAAGGCATTTACTTTAAACAAAAGTGTTAAAAGAATTTTTAGTTATTTAATCATATATTAACATATTACATGATAGAAGTATATATTTCTATCACTAATAGAATAAGTACGTAGTATACCCGTCTCTACATATATATGCGGTAATGATGAAATTCGATTATATAATTTAAATCTAGAGATTAGCTTATACGTAGCAATGCGCATTTATCTTCTTTGTTTGTTTGTTATTTCTTTTTTAGTTGTTGCAAATTTTAAGTTACCTTTTTTTTTTGGCCACAGAAGTAAAAATCCGAAAATTAGATAACGTTAATCATTTTGCAATTATTATTAGATAAAATTAATACGTAAAATTGGTGAATATTTTATGCGGAGAAAAATTTTATAGCATAATTATTGGATTAGAGATTGAGTCATAGAATTCTTTTAAATGTATTACTGCATCAAGTTTGTGCGTATCTGGTATTTATATAATATATATGCATGAACAGTACTTACTGTACGTTTCTTGTGTGTATGACTGATATGTAATATTGCATAAAACATACTTTGAAAAAAAAAAAAAGAAATATAAAAAATATTACGTATAAACAATTCGTTTTAAATTATGTAAGAATTGAAACTGATATCTAAATTAAGAGTTTATCTCATTGTTTACACAAATTCCAAATATTCGGAGTTTATCATTATTATTACTTAATTAGTAACTCCGCTTGATAATATCAAAAATTAACGTTAATAAAATCATTCTAAAAACGATATTTCGATCTATCGATCTAACAATGGAGTAACTCATTTCTAAATTATATTATAATTTCCTAATACAGTTATTTATCTCCATCTTTTATTTAACCGACCCTTGTTTTTTTTAATCTACCCTTTATCATCGGGGAGATATTCCACAGAATTTATTATGATGTAATTTCGGACTTATTAATCTAAAATTTACCCTTTTAAAAATTTTTATATTTTTTTATTTATAGTTTTATTAAATTAGAAAAATCCCGCATGATTAAATCGAAATAAATATTATTTCAAATAAAGATTTATGAAAAATGAAAAATTTAATCTGTTAACAGTATTATGTTTCTGTTTCTGTACTGTACGTTCACGTGTATATATACCCCTTTATATTTTTTGGTATTTTTTTTACAACGGTTCGGTGCAAAGAACAGGGTAAGAGTAACGTACCGATCAAATATTTTGTGTTAGTTACTCATGTCAGACTACTCTGTCGATTGCTCTGATTAATACCTTTTATAGATAACTGATACTCTTTTCGAATAAACAATCAATAAATATAAATTGGAAATCTTATTCTAAAAATAGTACCTTATGATAAAAATATTACAAATATTATTATTAAAATCGTAACAGTTATTAATTAAAAAGGTCTTCTATTTTGCATACTCGGGAATTATGATACAATGTGCTCAAATTTATTATATCATTTACATATATTCTTTACCGATACTGTTATTAATATCATGTGACATTAAGATTGTTATGCCGTAGCTTTTTTCATGAATTTATGATTCATGAATCTAATGCATAAATATTTACTTTTTTATATTATCTCCTATCAGAGTTGCACGTTCTCGACGTATGTATTGTACGTACGTAAATGATAAAAAATCATAAATTTACTTGATTTTATCTCGTTTTTTTTCACTTTTTTTAGTTTTACATATCTCAATCTCTATAACGAGTGAGATACTCTATTTATTTATTTATTATATGTTATTTTACATCAACTTTCCCTACTGCTTATAATACATTCTAATTTCAAATTATCAATTATTTATATATTTTTTTTAAAATATAATTAATAGATTATTTATATAAATATTCATCCTGAATAAAAATCATTTATCCTCTTTTTTTACCTTTATAATTTTTTTTTTATAATCCTTTATCCGTTACTTTGCAAATATGCCTACACAATCTTTTTTCGGAACGGTTTTGTTTGAAATCAAGAAAGCGTAAGTGTTATTTAATAAATCTTTTTTACATTCTATGTATATAATATTAATGAATTAATTTTTTTTTCTTTTAATCATTTTCATTTTTTTTTTTATTTTTTAGTCTCTCTCCTGATTCAAAATACGGTTTATGTCAGGATTGTTTTCAACCAAACACGAATAAAGATTGGTGTCAATCTTGTAACGCTGAAAGATTTCGACAAAGCTTTTCAAAATGGACAAGTGGTAATAAACATATCGACTTGTTCATTCAAGATTCTCAAGTTTCTGCTGAGAATTATTTTGAAGTTGTAGAATGGATCCCTCATGATCAACTTACTAAAGTAACTTTTACCGCTAATGGTAAAAATAGTACTAATTATAAAGCTATTTGGACTAACGGTGATATTATACAATGGGATCATGAAAAAAATGATTGGCTTCGTTGTCAAGGTTCAATAAATAATTGGACTTATACTCAAGATAAAAATGGCGCTACTAGAGGTTCTTTAACTGGTAGAATTGTTTCTTTGAAAAGCTTTCAAGATTCTTCTGATATTTGCTCCGAATTAGAAAAGGTTTGTTTTTACATATTCTCTCTTTTTTTTTTAATTATTATTTATTTTTTTTACTTATAATCTTTTATTTATTTATTTATTTTTTTTATATAGTTAAGACATTATTTGCAAACTTTTAAAGCTGCGATAAAGAATGATAGTGTATTATTACCTCTATTTGGTATCACTCAACATCCTAAAACATCAGAATATATGATCGTTTCGGGATACGCCGAAGGTGGTAGCTTAAAAAATAATTTGCAATATGTTCGCAAATTAAGTTGGAAGAAACGTTTAGAAATTTTGCAAGATATTGCTGCTGGTCTTGCTGGTATTCATCAATCAGATTTACTTCACAGAAATTTACATAGTGGTAATGTTCTACTTTTTAAATCTTTAAATGAAAAATGTGATGATAATTATTCTTTGATTGGTGACCTTGGATTACCTCAACCACTTGGTGCTTACTCTTCACATAATGCTGAACTTTATGATTTTCTTCCTTATGTTGCTCCTGAAGTATTAAGGGGTAATGATTACACGAGATCTGCTGATATTTACAGCTTTGGAATGTTAATGTGGGAAATCACATCTGGTGAATCACCTTTTAGCAATATTCCTCATGATAAACATCTTATATTTGATATTTGTTCTGGTATTAGACCAGAAATTTATCATGATATACCACAATGTTATTCTTCTTTGATGAAAAGATGTTGGAGTATGGATCCATTTAACCGTCCTTCTGCAACTACTTTGTGTAATATTTTTAATGACTGGTGCGATTTTTATGATGATAATATTAAAGACATTGATGATAAAAATATTCAATTACCTATCATGCAATTTCAGCATGCTGATAAAATAATTCAAGCTCAGTCAAAACATTCTAGTAATTTCTATGCTCCTTATTATACAAATTTCAGTTTATCGGGTTATAAAACCTCTTATGACAATAAAAAAGAGCAAACCCGTTATTATTAATCTAGATTGATTCCTGATTAATACACACATTCATATTATTTATTTACCTATAGACATTTTATTTATATCATTTGACAAAAAAGAAACAAAAAAAATCTTTCTTTTTTTTTTTTTTTTCTTCTTCTATCACAAAGTAGGAAAAAAACAAAAAAAGAGAAAAGACATATGCATTTCAATTCAAACTCGCAACACTTTTTTTTTTTTCGATTATCGTAAACATTTTTTTTTTAAAAAAAAAACGTTCCATTTATTTATTATTATTATCTGATAATTATTACATGATCGTTTTTTTTTTTTTTTTAGACATCGTTAGTATTAATAAATCGTTTTAGTTACTCATTTTTTTAATTTATCGAAATTGGCAAAATCGTTTTTTTTTTTTTTTTTCTCTTTTTTTTTTTTTTAATAATAAAAAAAAAAAAAAAAAAAAAATCGGCAAAATTCGAATATGTACCTATATGGTTCTAATTTTTTTTATATATTTATTTTTGTGGACACTTTTATGTATGAACAATTTAATCTAAGGATAAAAAAAAATTCATTTGATAATAAATTTTTTTTTACTTTTGACCTTTAATTATTATTATTATTATTATTATTATTATTATTTTACCAATCGTGAAAACTTTTTTTTTTTTTTTTATTTACAGTAAAAAATATAAAAATATAAAGGCCAACTTTATTAATAATCATGATTTCTAAAATATGCTTTAGAAATGTTTCGAAATTTCATGATGATGAATGACGAAAAAAGCCAAGACCTTTTTGCTTTTTTTTTTATGTTTGCTAAATTTAAATAACTGTAAAAAAAGCCTAAGTTATTAAAATATTTAAATTTTTAACTTTAAACCGGATTTTGATTTAAATTCAGGTACATACAGGAACCGGTTAAACGTACATATTTAGGAGAAAAATATGCACTTTAAAAAATTTTAAGGATGAATTTTTATTTTTACATATACTTAAACACTAATATTTTTCTTCTTCTTTCGATATATAATTATAATTTCTGCACTTTATAATTTTTGTTTATAGGGTTTTGCATTTATACTGGTAGTACGCCATATTACATATGAGTATATTCTCTTTCTTTCTTTCTTAAAATACGTACGTACGTATAAACTTTTTTTTTTTTTAAAATTTCAGAATCATTTTAGTGGTTTGATGAATTCATTATTAATAATTACACATATATCGATATCTGATACATAATACTTAATGCAGTAATGTTACAATAGAATTAATTAACTTATACGTAATACTAATTCCGAGTCACATGTTTACTATCGCAGTGTTCATGCAGTATAATACAGTTAATAAAGGTAAATAAATCCAAAAGATATCCAATTATATTGTCCCCCTCAGTTATATTTTTAGCTCTTTTAATTCTGCAAATTTTAATTTTAAAGAATTTGATTCTAATTAAAATTTCCGAATTAGAGGTGCCATGTCGTAGGCAAGTTATAACTGGTTTATAACTTAGTTACCGTTAAACGTAACTCGATTTTTTTATGCTGTAATTCATGTATCATGAAAATTATCACGTGGTTATTTCTAAACATTATAATTTTTATTTTTATATGTATACAATTTGTATACGTAGTTAATGGTTAAGGCCAATCCAAGTTAAAACTATGTTTAACATAACCCCCCTCCTCTTTTGAGCCTCAAATAGAGGGGTAATAAACATCACTTAATACTGTAATATAAAAATCATAACTGTTCAAAAAAAATTTTTTTTAGCCAATCAAAATCTCATGTTTTTTTACCCCCTCCTATTTAGAGTTGCAGATCATTTATGTTAATCAAATTGGAACGGCCTAACTATGTTAATCATAGTTACGTAGCTTATATACTGTAGTTCTGCATTGACAATTACGACACACTGTAATTATTGTAACCTATCATTGACCTGCATTATTATTCCGAATATTCGCTAAGGAATATTAGTATTTTTATAATTTTTTTTAGAGTGGCATGATTTAATTTCTGAAGTTATATGAATATGCTGTAGTTAATGCTGACATTTACTTCTCCGCTCAATTAAAAATGTTTAGAAATTAATAATATTTATCACAACAGGATGCAAAAGTTAGTTTTCATAATTCAATAAGGTCATTTTTTTTTTTTTTTAAAAAAAAAAAAATAGAACTAATGCGATTTATAAACTTTTAAAAAATAAAATCTATTACGTAGTAAAAAATTAAAAACTAGATTTACACGTTTGTCATACGTATAAGTTTTTTTTTGATGTCATGTGAAAATCACGGAAAATTGGGTAATTTTTCGAATTTTACAAATTTTAGACATGAAATAGAATCCTACTATAATCACAAAGAAAATCACAGGGTCACACCTTTTTGCAAAGCGTTATAATTTATATGATTTATAAAATTACTATGGAATCACTTATAATGCATTAATGTTTTGTTTTGTTTATATTGAAGTGTAGTATTTAAAGGTAATAATATCATTACTAATAAATATTATACAAAAAATGCGTTATTGGTTTGTACCAATTGGTCTTTATCTCATTATTAAAAAAAAAAAAAAAAAAAAAAAAAAAAAAAAAAAAAAAAAAAAAAAAAAAAAAAAAAAAAAAAAAAAAAAAAAAAATAATAATAATCCGGACGATTAATGTCAGTCACTATTATCAGTCTATTAGGTACAAGTAAATAAATTTAAATTTAAAAACATAATACAATTGATAATGCAACTTATTTCTGATTATGTAAGAAATCATTTAATCAATAATGAGGGTTACATATGAATTCCCTTATGGAACTTAAAACTTCTTTATTGTAGCATAGATGCCTTCTTAAATATCAAACTTCATAAGCGCTCATGTAATGGGTAGTGTTGGAAATCTAATATTCTAATAAGAACATTACATAACATTAATTTAATTAAAGCTTTATATTATAATTTTTTTTATGAGAGCACTTAAATTATAAAAATAAAAAGATTCATAAAATATTAATTCTGTATTAAATATTTGAATAAGAGATCATTTCAAAATCGTGCAACTAGACAAAAATCTGGAGAATTTACATGAACCTATACAAAGTTTGATCAAAAATATATCATTTTACAAATCGCGATAATAAATCCAAGAGTTTTTTTTTAGATCATTACCAAATAGGGATATGACTCTACAAGTCGAATCTCGGGCTTGTTTCACAGATAATCAATTCATATCGTAGACAATTCTAATGATAATAATGTCGGTAAAATGAAAATAAATTGAATTGGTTGTCTGTGAAACAAACATGTGTCGGTGAAGTGAGCAGAACCTAAAAATTCAGGTAAAAATTTAGGTTTCACAACAGGGTAATAACTGACAATGTAATTTACATAACGATAATAATGTAATGTTACAAATATAAGATGTTAAAGCAGGCCAGCTTAAAGATTAATTTTGGCCAGAATTAAAATACTGTAAATAGTTCGAATATGAGTTACACATATCGATATGGGCGGAAATTTCCCGTTGGCAATTAGGTTATAACAAAGTGGTACTCATGAACAGCTTAGCTTAGTTAATTCTAACTAACCTAGGGTTGAAAATTACAATGAAATTATGTAACTGTAATGTAACTACTTTACATTAAAAAATGCATTGTCACATGATAATTGCACTAGCATTACAAAAGTTTTACCAGTATTAATAGATATCCATCATTATATTCAGATAGGGTTGTCAAATTACTGTAATTTTACGTAACTTTTATAAGTTTTCAGTAATGTAATTTTGAAATTATGTACTGTAATTTCTTAATATAACTCCGGTCACTGTGTTCAGTATTTTATGAGACGATTTTTATGTCATAAAATCAAAAATCGCAGTATTAAATATCACATAGAATATAAATAGTATTCTAAAAATCGATAATCATTTGAAGAATAAAATTCATTTATTGTATTGTTATAAATACAATAAATTTTATGATAAACACATTTGCATATTTAATAATTTTGGCTAAAGTTTTCATAAGTGCTGGCATATGATATCACATGTGAAATTTACATGAAATTCAAGTTACGTAAAATTACATGAAATGTAAAATTGTAATTTCTGTAACACAAACCCTATATATTCAGAGCTATAATTTTTTATGCTCATTTTGCAAAAATTTTGATCAAAATTACGTGTTATTTTAATTTCAGAAACTTACACAAACTTACGTAAAATTACGTAAATTACGGTAATTTTACAACCCTAAACTAACCTGTTCGGATCACTACTTATAAATGGGATATAAAAACTCATAAACAACTCATAAGCAACTCATAAGCGATTCATAGGCAATTCAATTTTATGATCACTGATTAAATCATCGCTTTTAATCTCATTAAAATCACGCTATATTGGCTTAGATTCTATTTAGTCTCGTCATTCAATCTAAATAATCACAGAAATTGGAAATTTCCGCTAATGTGAAATATAGAATGCTAAAGCGAGTCAGCTTTAAGGTTTTTGGCCTGCATTATATTAGTGTAACATACGTTATGTAAGTTATGTAAGTTACGTCAGTTAGAATTTAATAAAAAAAAACAAGTTGCTAAACCAAAATTCGGCAGAACGTGTTTATTGACCAATCAGGATTAGTGCTCCGAACGGGTTGGGTTATAGCCAACCCGAACCCGACCTGAAAATTCGGGTCGGGTCGGGTTGAAACACTTTCGGGTTAGCACTTCAACCGAACCCGACCCGACCCGAAATTATTAAAGCTAACATGGGCTGCTGTCAATAGAATCAAGCTAAGTAATTTTTTTTTGAAATTTTAAACAAAAATATTTCAATTTTAATAATTTTTTTTTTAAAATAAAAGTTAAAAGTTTGTAGAAATTCATTTAAATAATTTTTTATTAAATTTAATAGGGTGATTCAAAGTTAACTTATTTCAAAAATAAATAGAGGTTTAAAACGTCCTATTTCTATTTTGAAATTTTGAAATCAAAAAATAAAATAGGTGATATTCGGAGATGAATTGAGTAAC